GGAGGAGGAGGAGGAGGAGCAGTAGGAATAGACGTTGAAGCAGATGTAAGAGGGATAATTGCTGGTATATCGACTGGTGGAGGAGGTGGTACTAAATAAAAAATAGACGAAAACAATAAATTATTGATATTTTTTTCTTAGATAATAGTTTACCAGTTGGTTTTGGTGGTTCAACTACTTGAACAGTTGTTGTTGTAGTTGATGATAAATCATTGATATCTGGTAACATTGATATAGCAAATGAAGGTGCAATAGAAGCCATTTGTTGTTGTGTCCAATCAACAGTCGTATTATCATCAAAAGTTGCGTAATTATCAAGTTCAGGTAGATTGTCCGGTAGTGAGAGTAATGGTACAGCTCCTAATGTAGGATTATAACCAAAATCACCATTTGTTGGACGTTCAGACATTTGTTTATAAAATGCAGGTAAAGGAGTTTCAGAAATCTCTTTAAAATTAAAATTAAAGTTTAATTTTCTTTAAAATATAGAAAAATAAGATTCATACGTGGTCGTGAAGGTTCATCGGCTTGTTTACGTATTCGACTACCAACATTCAATGGATCAATTTTTGTTGGTGTTGTATAACTATAAAAAAAAAGTATTTATATTTAAGCCGATCAATGAAATTTACAATGGTAACTTACGGATTTTCTTGTGTATTATATTTAAGAAATGAAACAACTGATTTAATATTCGTTGGTGGTCGTCCTAAACCATTCAAAACAGATCTTTTTGTTTTTTGAATAAAATTATTATCATATTGTTTCAAGATAATTAATGAATCATCATTAGATTTTGATCCTTTGTCATTTGGATCAATAAATTTATCATCTGTTTCATTTAAACGAAATAAATTATAATGAAGTACAGGTGGTTTATTTTCTTCATTTTCTGTATCACATTCAAATATTGATTTATAACTTGTACGTTTCTGTTCAACAGGATAACGTGCACTTGAATGAACTTGTATAGCACGTTTTGAACCTTTTATACGATCAATATGAGCATTTGCATGTTGTATACGTTCATCGAATTTATTTAATTGTGCACGATAAACATTAAGACGGATAGCTATACGATTGAACATATCTTGTGATACAGCATCTAAATAATCGAATGTATCAGCACATTGTTTAACAAGTTCTGCACGGCGTAAATCGCCCGCAATAATTGGGACAGTATATGGTTGCGTGACACTCATCTGAAAACAAGAAATAATACAGATAAGCGAAAGTACTACTATTTTATATGATACCTAAAGTAAATAAAAGTGAAAAGATAAAATTTTTATTTCTAATTAAATTTCTTTTTTTATTTTTTTTTCATAAATCAACAAAAAAAAACTCATAGGTTATTACACAAATAGAATTAAACAATTTATCAATATAAATTTGAATTTTCATACAAATAATTTTAACAATAAATGTTCTCGGAATGATTCATTATATATTTCATTGAAAATAAATCTATTAATTTATTTTCATAATTATCAAAAATTAAAATAATAATCAACATTCTTTTAATATAATTGATTGTCATAGATAAAATAACAAATAATCTAGAATAAGATTGTTTCATAATTATGAACAAAATGAACAAAGTGGCCAAAATATACACTGTTCCCAACAATTGTAACAAAATAAAATATTTGCAATAAAAAAAACAAATAAACATATTGTACATGGACGTTTGTCAATTAAAAAATTGAGCACATGAAGCACCAAAAATAAATAATGATGAATACTGGGTAAAATTGGATGTGGCAAAAGAAATAACGGCAAAAGCCATTGAATGCAGTACATATCATCTACAAAAAAAAACTAAATTTTCGCTATATGAAATAAAAAAAAGAAAAGTATCTAATTTATTATTGAGAATAAATATCACAATTAAAATTTCAAAACAGAGATCAAAATAATAATAATATTTTAAAGTTCTTTGTGATCTTTGGGAATGGTTGTCTTTATACCGGATGAATGTAACCATTCTTTAGGAAAAAATAAATTACGTTCACTATGATGATGAACAAGAAGTTCATTACGAAAATATTCAATTGTTTTATTGAGACCTTCAGCAATTGTAACCTATCAAAGAAAATTTAGTTTATTTTCAACAAAAAATATATATATATACCTTAGGTGACCAATTAAGCCATGTTTTAGCTAATGTTATATCAGGTCGACGTTGTTTTGGATCATCTACTAATGCATCTTTGTATTCTAATGTAGCTTTTGAACCTACAATAAGACAATTAATTTCATTAAGTTTAATACAAAATAGTCTAAATCAACTTCTACACAAAAATCTTCTCAATGGTCTATAAAGAGGGTGATCGAAAATCATTACTTTTAACACACGCTAGAAATGTCATAACACGAATCTGACATCCGTTTGTCTAGATCTGATCTTTTTCTTTTCAGCGATTCCTTTGAGGGAGTACCTGAGTCTAGTACTGGGTAGTTCCATGGGATGTCAAACACAAAACACACAAAGTATTCAGAAAGTTTTCTTTTCCCCCAAATTTTGTAGAGTCTTTTTTGCTGATCATTTTCGTACAGGAAAAGTTTTGAATTCTATTGAGATATGACGACGCTGTCATCAAAATAAAAAACATAATAAAATAGCTTAAAATCTCATTTTTCCTTATGAAATATAGGAAAAAGTTGGGTCTCTAATCTCGTACCGAGTGTATTCCAAAGTAATATGACATAGTAGGTCTTGTAGAGAAAATTGTGCTCTATAAAACCTACTATGTCATATTTCTTCGGAATATAGTCGGTTCGAGATTAGATATTCGACTTTTTCTTATATTTTATACGGAAAAATGCGATTTGAACTATTTTGACGATAGCGTCGTCATTTCTCAATAGAATTCAAAACTTTCCCTATACGAAAATGATCAGCGAAAAACACTCTACAAAGTTTGGGGAAAAAGAAAAATTTCTAAATACTTTGTGTGCTTGTGTTTGAAACTTCACGGAACTACCTCGCTGAGATCCAGGTACTCCCCCTACGTCAAAAACTGAGAGAAAGGGACCAGACTTAGACGAATGGATATCGGATTCGTGAACTAGACAGCATGGAATTTCGTATTATGATATTCCTAGCGTGTGTTAAAAGTCATGATTTTTCGATCACCCGCTTTTACTTTAGGTTTCACAATCCAATCGTAAAAATCTTAATATATTCGACTGTGATAATTAAGAAAATCTAGATGGAAACATACCAATAATATCTTTTATTTTTGTTGCAAACTGTTCAATTGTATATTCATCTGGATTACCTAAATTCATTGGTTTTGAATAATTACTATTCATTAATGCAATAAGACCATCAACAAGATCGCTAACATATTGAAATGAACGGGTTTGTTGTCCATTTCCATAAATCTAACAAAATAAAATAAATAAATGCATACATAATTATTTAAAAAAATCTTTACAGTAATTGGTTCATTTTGAAGTGCTTGTAAAACAAAATTACTAACAACACGTCCATCATTCATATGCATTCGCGGTCCATATGTATTAAATATTCGAGCTATACGAATAGAAATACCTTCCTAAAACAAATAAGAAGAATTATTCATTTGTTTATTTATTTTAATAACAAACTTGTTGAGCATATGCATAACACATTGCTTCAGCAACACGTTTCGATTCATCATAACATGATCTTGGTCCAAAAGGATTTACATTACCAAAATAAGATTCTGTTTGAGGATGAACTTCTGGATCACCATAAACTTCACTTGTCGAAGAAAATAAAAGTCGAGCACGAACACGACGAGCCAAACCTTAAAAAGAAATAAGACATGACAAAGATGCATTTCACTTCATATTTAATGATTTAAACGGTTATGCAAAGCTCAAGTTATAAATATTCTACGCGAACTTCTGTGAAAAAAACATTACACTGGAAAACACAGCTCTCTATCTCATTACTATATTTTTAAACCTTGAAAAAACAGCTGGCGATCAAAAGAAAACAATATCAAAATTTTTATAGATGATGTGTTTCAGATATTTTATCTATTTACCGAGCATATTAATAGTTCCAATTGAATTAACTTTGATAGTTTTAACTGGATTATACATATAATGTGGTGGTGATGCTGGTGAAGCTAAATGATATATCTGATCGACTAAAATGAAAATATCATTAAAAATAAAATATTTTTCTTCAGATATATTTTTAACCTTCAAGAAAAAGTGGAGTGACAATATCATGATGGACTAATTCAAAATTTTCATGACCAATCCAATGTTCAATATTTCGTTTACGTCCAGTAAAAAAATTATCAGCAACAATTACTTCATGACCTTCAAGCATCAATCGATCAACAAGGTGCGAACCAACAAAACTATATATTTATATACATACATATATATATATTTATTTTATTTCAAATTAACTAACCCAGCTCCACCAGTAACCTATAAAATAAATTAAAATAATCTAATAGAAAAATAAATTCAACATACTAAAATTCGTTTTCGATCTTTATATGTCAAATATTTGACTTCAGGAAATGTTTGTTGTCTAAAATAATCAATAAAATTCTTTAGAAAAAAACAAAGTTTAATTAATAGTACCGATCTTCTAAATCTTTGATACGTTTTTCTAAAGCTTGGATTCGTTCTTCTTGTTGACATACATTTGTATGTAATATACAAATTAATAATAGTATACCATAGAAAAATTCACCTAAATAAACAATATATAATATGAGTAACAAGAGTAAAAAAATAAATAAATATATACCGTTGGTTTGATGGAACATTTGAAAAAAATAAAAATTGTACTTTGTCTAAAATAAAACGAATGTGCAATGAAGCATAACAAAAAAAAAGTAAGAGTCATACACGCTCGATACGTACTTATAGAAACGGTTTCTTTTTCTTACTCGAAAGACAATACACTTTTTCTCATCACTCTGATGATTTAAGAAAAAGGACGGTCGCTACAATCAATGTTATATCGAAAATTTCTATTGGTTTATTTTAATGATCAATCATGTGGATGAATAAAGATATTCAATTTTAAAATTTATTTCTTTGCCTATTGAACAATGCGTTTTCATGAATTACACGGAAAGAATATTGAATTTGATGGACAACGTCTTAGTGCGACTCGATTTAATTCATTTACACATGCAATGATTTTTTCTGAACGACCATTATATCCGGGAGAATTATTTCTTGTTGAAATAGAAGATATTACAGATAGTTGGACAGGAAATATTAAAATTGGATTAACATGTCTTTCACCGAATGAAATTCTTAGTCAATGTACACAAGAAATTCTTTATGATGATATTTTTCATATAACAAGTAATAATAAAATAAACATTTTCGATATATATATATACTGAATATTTTTACTATAGTTCCAAGTCGACCGATCACTCAATATACTTGTACATGTGGTTTATGTAAGTATTATTCTTTGTATTTTATAAAGCAAAAAATTAAATATTTATTTTCTACCAGATCGACCATTATACAATTTTGGTAGTCCAGATGATTATATTCATACACCATTTGATTCTATTCGTCGACAATCTATCGAACCTGTACAAAAATCAAATAATAATAGTATTAGTACTTGTCCAACTAATGTAGGCAGTCGAATTGGTATTATTTACGCATTGAAACAACAATCAATTCATATGCATTGTATCTTGAATGGATTTGATTATGGACCTTTCACCGTTCTTAATATAGGCTCGTCAACAACTGAAAATAATGAAATAATATTACCGTCAAAAAAACATCAAGCAACTTATATGAAATCTAAGAAATCAATTAATAAATATACGAAATTTTGGGCATTTGTTGATGTTTATGGTGCAACAAAAAAAGTTCGAATTATACAACTTTATGGACGTAAGTTTTTCTTCAATCAAACATTAATTATTCATGTACAAAATATTTGTTTTCTAGCAAGTCCATTAAAACATCTATGTCGCTTAAAAATTCTTTCCAATCTCAAGTCAAATGATCTAATTGATACAATTTTTCTTAATAGTCGATTACAATCCTATTTAAAATTTTATATAGCTTAGTTATAAATATTAATTTTTTGTTGTTATTTAAAACACAATCGATTTATTTCAATATTACGATCAGATACAATGATCTATACAATTTTTGTTTTCTTTTTTTTTTGTCATAACATGTGTTTTTAACTGTTATTGTTTATTTAATAAAATTGATGATAGAAAAATGATTATTTAATAATCAAAAATAATTTCCATTTGATTTTTTGTCAATGTTTGACCAAAGACTGATTTTTCAAAATCAACTTTTTTCTAAATAGATATAAGAATATTAATCTAATCATTGATATATAAATATTTACTTTATGATAAGGAAATATTTGACCAAAACATGAGAGAAGTAATGGATCTTCACGTACGGATACAGCAAAATCATGATCATCCAAACGACTATCATGATCTTTATCCAATTTTTTCATTGTAATCTCTACTAATTCTTTAATACTTTCAGTCGGATCTTCATCATTACCTGGTTGCTGATATAAATAAATATATTTCGCATACGATCAAAAAAAGAAATATTTCGACGTACTTTAAGCATAGTATTCTTTAATAATTGAAATATTTCCTGACGAGTTATATATTTTTCACCTTTAAGAGAATAACAATTGAAGGCAACTAGAAACAAAAAATAATGTTCAATCAACTAGTAATTCTTAAGGATATTTTAATGGGGTATTTATAGACTTACAAATTATTTTTTCATCTAATGTTCCACGTAGATATATATTAAGTCCAATAATCCATTCGAGCATATTCACTTGTCCATCATTATCTCGATCAAATACTTTGAAAACTGATGAGAAAGAATTTTTATATTGAAGTTTTAAACATTCAATTACCTCTATCCATTAAAATATCATCTGTCATTTCGAATGTATTATGTAAAATATCACGAAAACGTGTTCGATCGATTGTATCTAGATTAGATAGAGGAATTTACCAAAAATAAAGAAATGTAGACATTACTTTTATCATCATCTCTAGTTAAATAACGAAATATTGTACATAATGATTCGATTTCTTGTTTAGAAACTATGAATAAATAGATGTATAATTATATTATGAAAAAAAACGAAATCTACAATGAAATTTTTCTTTTCGTTTCATCACTTCATTTTGTATATAGTATACAGATTTTCTTGATATTGGTTGTCCATTACCAAGTTGCTTATTTTCTAATTTCTACAAAATATTTTTTATTGATTAATAAGAATAAAGATAATATTCTACCCAAGTATGACGACTATGAATCTTTCGAATATCTGGTGTATCTTCCTCTGAAGCAGACGAACGAATACGTGCAGATGGCATTGAATACTGTTCAAAAATTACTCTTCAATTTAACCTTGTTGTACAAAATTTCGAGTGTTATATTTTTGCCATTATAAGTTTATGACACTTGGAAACGACCAGAAGAAATTGCAAATTTCTATACTAAACGGTTAAGAGAAACGTTATGGTTATGTACCTGTATGTCTTTTAGTAGCACAAGTTTTCTTTACAAATATTTTTTGGAGAATTTTTAAAAACGATAGAGTCCGCTGTTATCCTATTTTAAGTCTTGATTTTTGAAAATAACTATTCGTGTTACTCACTTACAATTCAAATTCGATTACATTCTTGCCATGAGTTTGATATTAATATTTCAACTGTATAATATCGATAAGAAGAAATATAGCCACAATTTTTATTTTCCGTTCGGTGATGAAGAAACAAATGTTGTCATACTTTATGCTGGATGTAGATGTGGATCTGATCATACTCTATGCCATCCATTCAAACCCACATCCAAGATATTTCCTTTAGAAAATCCCAAAGAGATTCTCAAGTACCTGCCTTACCTATGCCTATGCCTAGAGAAGTTATGAATCTTGTCTACATGAAATCGATCACTTCTCTCGTTCCTTTTGTCTACGTTCATGAATTAAAGTTAAGCGGTCTTTACCAAAGACACCCTTAACATGTAAACTTTAACTTTGAATTTTTGAAGTATAAAATATATCTTTTATTTAAACTTTTCAAAGAAAATTATACTGCTGTATCTATTCATGAGCATTCTGAGTGAATGCGAACGAGAGTTGTCTCTTTAAAACCAATGCCATGCTTCGGCCTCCCAATTATCAGAAATGTTCTGATAAGAAAAAGTGACAGAGATTTCACAACTTATACCAAAAGGTACGCAATATTCTTTCGTTCTTATCTTTTCTACTTACGATATGACGCTGTATACACGTATGCTATATAAGACTTAACAAATCTGAATTCACATTACAGAGATTTATAAATCATTAATGAATTCTTCAAACGCAACTGAATTTAAAACATCAGCACATGATGCCAATGTACTAACATGTGCAAATCATCCAACAGTCTTTGGTACTCATAAATGTTATCGATGTCAGAAAATATTATGTTTACAATGTTATAATCCACGCGGTCCAGGCTATGGATTTTGTCCAGAATGTCATGCAGCAGAATCACAATCATGCTGTACAATATCATAAAAATAAAAGGACTTTTCTTTAAAACTATTTTTATTCCATTATGAAACTAAATAAAATACTACTAATATGTTTATTAAAGGAAATACATGAAGTTTCTATGACAGATGTAATTTACATTTACTTACTAAAACAATTATGAATATAAAATCAAAATCTGTTCTTATATTTGCTCAAATACTTCAGATATAAATAAATTACTGATCTTTAAATACATAACAACGTTGCTTGAATTTTCATGAATAAAGTAGTTACGGTTTTAATAGTTAGAGACAAAATGAATTACATTGATTTGCAATACTATTATACTAAGGTCAAACACGTATCCGTGCTAGACAAAAGAACTTTATATTGAGCGTAGTCAAATTAAGGAGAGTTGATATTATATACAATGATATTTATTTATTTATGTTATTTTAAAATGAAACATCTGTTCACATTAACTAAAAACGACTACGTGTCAAGTTCTACGCAATACTGCCATCTGCTTTCTAAATAGCAATTAAACTAATATTCTAAAAAGTATTTCTCATAATAATGAAATGCAGCTATCAATGTATCCACAAACATTCACAGAACTTTTTTTCATATACTCGACTGATTTATCTGTGGTTTGTATATTCGAAATTGATGAGCATATAGCGCCATCTAATATCACGTTTTTATAATTTTGTACCGAAACATATAGACACAAACCTTGAAAAAACTGTGAAATTGATCACGACATTGACAAGCACTTTTACTAACAAATGTCATACAAAAAAAAAGATGATTTATACAATTTTTGAATGTCACATTTCCATACTGTACTCACTATTAGTCAGCAGACCATCATTCATTCACCAAATCTACGACCAATCGTCGATCGTAATCTATTGTTGTTATTTTATTTTAGGACTATCTACATATATCAGGTGCTTCATCTTATCCGAAGCAATTATAGGTTAAAACATTATGCATTATTCGTCTGTTTACATCGACAGCTTTCTAAAACACTTGACACAAGGCGTATTTATCAAAATTGCTCTATTTTTTACATATTTCGTATGGTTAGTCATTTTTCTAGATCGTCATAATACATATTTCATAATATACGTAATTCGTATGACGATTTTATATTTTCCAGGGACATCTAGGTTTTTTTCGACGTATTATTGATAAAACCCTTGAAATATCATTCTGAAACATATAGATAACGAATATATCTGAATATACATTAATTAGACATGTTATCTTTGCTTTGATTTTCCTTGAGTATTTGTTTAAAATAAACATTTTATCACATGCTTTTTAATAGTCATATTGAAATTCCTATGTTAATCTTATCTAATAGAAAAATGAATGTATGCCGAAATATTGAATAACTTTAAAATAATGAATTACTATATTGTGTAATTTGATTTAATTATATATTTATCTCTATTTCTTTTTAGATGATATCACATGTTTAAGATAAACTGATATATTGCTTTTCTTTTCTATTTATTAATTAATCGTGATGTCGTTTTCATCCGTTTCATCAAAACCTTTTGAAAACGTTGATAATGATGATCATAATGACGATAATCAATATAATGAAATAGTTGACAAGTCAGATGAAAGTAATGATGAACCACTTGATCCTCGTATACAAGTAAAATCTAATAAAATTTTGGTAATCATATCATTATTTTATATAATAGATTGAATTAGAACGTGCTAATGCTGCAACAAGTGAAATAAATAATCTTGAAACACAACTAGACGTAAGTTAATTTTTATTCTATACTCATAAAATTTAATATTAATGTAATTAAAGGAAGCTCAACAAATATTTCAAACGGGCTTTTCAAATTGTAAACAATGTTTAGCTATTCTTGCAAAGAAACTTGGGAGTTGTGTTGACCGTGCACGACCGTTTTTTGAAGCATGTAAACAAGCTGAAGAAGTAAATCAATTGAAATATATTTATATTATATCAAATTGTTGATAATTTCTTTTTTTTGTTTAGGCACAATTAGAAACTCAAAAAGCAGCACAAGAATATCAACGTTCTGTTGAAGTTTATCGTGTTGCAAAAGAAACATTAAGTTTAGCTGAAAGCAAATTATTAAAAACAGATCAACGTGTATTTGATGCTGCATGGCAAGAATATGTTAATCATGCAACAATGAAAGTAAAATATTCATAGATTATATATATATATATTTATTGAGTTTATAAAAATAAAGGTTATGCAAGCTGAGCAAGATAAAACACGTAGTGAACGAACACATGAAGAAAAATCGAAACTTTATATTGAATGTGAACAACAACGAGTAACACTACAACGAACATTAAAGAGATCAATTACTAAAGCGAAGTATAAAATAAACAAATAATTTTTTAGAGTAAATATTTATTTTATATTTTCTAGACCATATTTTGAAGCAAAAGCACGTGCTGAAGATGAATTACAAGTAAGTTTCTATGGTTTTTTTGAAATATTACTAAAGGGACGGAAATATATCAACAATCTTGAGTTATTTTCATTAAAAGTATGTTCTGTCGAGTACTTTATGACTTTAATCTCATATACTATTTTGTCACAGATATCTATATTCGCCTATCATTTGTCAATGAATAATAGTTTCTTTCACTTATATTAATCATATATATATATATATATATATATTATTATTCTTTATGAATAGCAAATTCATTATTGTGACATGCAATATATAACATGATTGATAAGCAATAAATTAGTATAAATGCTCAAAATATAAATATAATCTCAAGAGAAACAGTATATTTAAATTTTCTCATTAAGAAAAGACTCCTTGAATATCGTTTCTTACAACAAAAGTGTTTTCCCTAAAATTAACATTTATTATATTTAGATCATTCTATGAATAGAATCGTTTTATTTATTTGTTTTTAATCTTTAGAACCAGAAAATTCGAATTGAAGCTGTACAAAAAGCAATAAGTCAAGCAAAAAAAATGTATCGTACTGCTTTAAATAATCTCGAACGAATATCCGAAGAAGTAAGAATCTATCAAGAAAAATCTTGAAATTAAATATCATATTTCTATTTTAAGATTCATTTAAAACGTAAAAGTCAATTATCAATTAAACTACCACCTCGTGAACCAGGTGTTGGTTCTGATAGACCCGATGAATTTATTGAACTACCAGATCTTGGTAAGTAATTATCTTAATTATTCTTATCTTCTATACAAAAAAACAAAAAAATATTCTAGACGTATCCATTAATCGAGGTAATTGTTTGAAAATAATAATGAAAACTGATTTATCTTGATTTGCTGTGTTCTTTATTTTTTTATTTATTAAATAAAATTAATCTAATGATAATATTATTCTATTTAGAATTAACCGAATTTCCAAAAATTGATCCATCTGATGATGACGATGATGATGAAGACGAAGACGACGATGAAATAAAAAAAGTAAATCGAGATGAAAATCTTTCGAATTCTATAAGCTCAATATCAATGGATGGATGTTCATTAAATAATACAACGAATAATAATAATTTATCCGGTATGTCAAATATTCAACAAACAAGTGATTATGAATCATTTGCTGATTGTATGCGTCAATCGCCTGTGATTGCTACTGCTGCTAATGCTAATCTAGCTAAACCTTTGACAAATATCAATTTTGACAATCACTTTAGTATCCAATCATCAGTACGAGTAAATGGTGAAGGTTTATCATTATCAAATGATCAACAACAAC